CCAGAGGCAGGAAGAATCAGTTAGATTAGGGTGAAGCTGATGCAGTTGTCCAGGTGGGTCATGGTGGTGAATGGAAGTAATGACAGTTAGGATGGAGAGAAGTAGGCAGATTAGGGAGTTACTGAGGAGGTGGAATAAGTAGGACTCAAAGACTGTTTGGATATAGGGACCAAATAAAAGGGACAAGTCAAGAATCATTTCAACTTTGGATAGCTGGGAAGATGGTGCTGCCAGATGCTGAGACTTGAGAAAATGGGAGAAAGAACATGGATATCTTGTACAATTCATCCCAGTTGACTTGGCATGGTTCACAGTGTCTCACAAGCCTTTTCAGATGAAGCTGAGATTTCTCTAACAAAGTATGGCTCACAAGCTTTAGAAACATCAGAGATCTTCTTTTTTCCAAACACCCGGATTGAGTTGGTAAAGACAGTGTCTCAAGGTACCAGGGAAGGAATCTTTACATGAAGGTTTCCAAAATCCACAACCTAACATTATAAAAGCTGCTTCACTTGATTTTATAAGTAATTCCTGGATTAGTTACTTGCACAGCGTGAAGTTTAGAAGTATTGCTAACTATTTGTGCCACTCACCTCCAGATTATAAAATGAGAGTTTCTCTGAGATTAATTTCCTTCTTTTTAAAAGCAACATAATTACCATGGCTTAACTGGGCAGCAGCTAGATAATGAAATCTTTTGCTTCAGGTACAACATAAAACAATTGCACATATTCCTTCCTTTCCTACAGTGGGTTATAAACAATGAAAGGAAGCCACATTAATTTCCCATAGAATGATTGCCAAGATGAAATTTTCTCATCAGTGGTAAAATAGGAATGCATGGACTTGATTGTGTAAGAGTCCTGTGACAGCCAGTACTGTGGTCAATTTTATAGGTAACTCCCCCAGAAACCTCTAAAGCAAGACAGCCATGGGAGTGATGCATTGCCGGGCTTTGAGAAATATTGGCGCATTACCTCCAGATCAGTCCCTGCAGGGTTACTGTTAACATACGGGAGAGGAGTCAATAAAGATCCACGTTCATGCTACCTTGTATACTCATGTGCAGGCAGAGAAAAGGCTAAGGGAAGTAGAAATCGTTTGTACATAGCACATAACAAGAATCATTAACAGTATTTACCAATTCTCACACTGCCAATGCATGTGTTTATGTGGATGGTAATATCACAAAGTAGCTAGCAGTATGAAATTTGGTGTCGGAGAGACTGAAGTTAGATCCTGACTTTTGCCACTTAAGAAGCAATGTGACTTTGAACAAATTCTTTAAACTCTCAAAATCTTAGTTTCTTCATTGATATAGTGGGACAACATGCTGCTTCCTTTGGTTTAACAACTTAACACATGCAAAGCATCTAGACCAGTAACTGATCATCATAAGCATTCAACAAATGGAGATAATGTAAGTAAAGCAACATAAATGTATACTAATGATCCATAGCAGGCTGAAGCCTGATATTAGACCTTTATGCCTAGTATAACCATAACATTGTAAATACTTAAATTTGTAGATGGTTGATTTTTTAACATGGTCTACGGGAAATATAATAATATCACATTCCATTGACTCTAAGATGTGCTTTTTTTAATATTTAAATGAGAGGCCTGCACATACATATCAAAACTTGTGGAAAGGATGACAGCAGCTTGGAAGAAAAATCCAGACCTAATAATGGAGCGTTCTTTTAAGAAATACTACATCATCAATGCTCTCGTTGATGGAGAATGACATTGTGGAAAAACTGGGACACTGATGACCCTCATCTCAAAACGACCTAGAAGAGCCAGACTCCAAATGGGAAATTCCAGAACACACCTCCTTCCATTTATTTTGTTTATGCTTTCTGTTTTATATCTGTATAACAGGAATGTTAGCTAAAAATATGTCTAATTAGGTTTACTTATTAAATAGATTACTTTCAAATCAATATAAAATAAAAGTTCTAGTGATAAAGCATTGTGTTCTAGTTTAATTGTCAGTCTTTGTCATGTTGGCACATAAATAATGAAACATCTTACAACTGATGACAAGACAACTTAGCTTCACAGGAATATGGTAAACAAGAAAGTATGGACAGTCAAGAGAATTTAGAGAGGTTGGAAAACTGAGTTGATAAAGGCAGACCTCTGTGGGTTCAATCTTAGCTACTCCATTTCCAGTTATGTTATCTTTGGACAAATGACCATCCCTCTGAGCCTCTGTAAAATGACAGTTTTACCTAAATCATTAGGTAACGTGTGTGGATTAAATGAAACAATATAGATGAAATGATTAACACCATACTGTGCCAGTATTTCAAGACAGCAGTACATGATTGATGTTATTATGATAATTAATAATCTATTGTTTTATTTAAAAAATCAAATTACTTCCAGATATTTGTCACAGCATAGAATGGAAAGCTACATGTTATATCTATCAATCAGCCATATAAAAATATATATTTAAAATATTAATATGTTATAAATTAAGCTTCTGTACTTTTGAGGTAATATAAAAATGAGTGAAAGAATATTCACGAGATTTGAAAGGTACATTTATAATGGTTTGATTTAAAATATAATCTAAATGCTCTACTCAAAAATTGGAGCTGGGGAGGTTGAAGACCACCTGTCTTTGTTGTGCCATCTTCCAGCTGAAAGTGATAAACGGGAGGAATAAGGGATTGCTGATCAAAACAGTCAGGCATGTGTACTAAGAATACATGGATGAAAACATCATTGTCATCAGCGTGGGTTTCAAACATGAGGCTTGAACCAGGAGACTTAAAGGCAGAGATACCAACCTTACAGTTAAACTGGTCCATATGTGGACAGTTCTGACGAGTGCTCTAGGGTGAACAGTGGCAGTGATGACTTCATTTAACAACAGTTAATGAGATAATAGTGTGTTAGAGATGTGCACACCTTTATGAAGATCCTCTTTCACTGATTTTTAAATTTAAGATTGCTTTTAAAGAAAAAGTAGTCACGATCCTCTGGTGTTAAATTATTATAATGTTACTCAAATGTATACATATAAAACTAGGTAGAAGCAATTATTAAGTTAAGTAGAATCAGAGAAAAAATAAAAGCAAAATAGAGCCAATACAATTAAAATGGATCACATTTGTTACATGTAATTGCTGAAGTTGAAGTTGTTTTGCTGAAACCCAGTAACTGCTTGCAACTTGAGTATGGTATTGACTAAACAAAGGTTCCTTTGAGTTCAGCCTGCCCGAAACACCAAGTTGGGTGTGATGAGCCGTTTGCCTGTCACTTTTCTCTTTTGGAACTACTGCAAAACTTTACCTGTCGCTTGACATGCATTTATTAAGTCGGCCTGTATTCTCCACTCATTCGCCTCTGATAAAGGTATGGTTCCGATGCAATCATAAACCCGACTGCAAAGAAGGACACCATGCTAATTATCTTTTGCTTTGTTTCAAACACCACAAAACTCAGGGACTTAAAACACCAATAATCATTTATCCTTCATGGTTTCTTCGGGTGAGGAGCCCAGGAGTGGCTCTGCTGGGCAGTTCCGGCTTGGGGTCTTTCATGAAGTTGTAGTGAGATGAGGCTGGAAGCCCTTGTCACTCACGTGCCTGGTAGCTAGGTTAGGAAGACTTGAACAGCTGGGGATCCTCTGGCAATCTCTGTGCAATCTCTCCATTTGGTCTCTGCAGCCTGACAGCTTCAGGAAAGCCAGATTGCTCAATGGTGGCTCAGGGCTTCCCAGGCGCATGCTCCAAGAGAGATGACCAGGGGGAAGCTGTATCTCCCTTTCCAACCTAGCCTTGGAAGTCATGGAAGGTCATTATCTCACTCTGTTCGTTAGAAGCAAGTGACTGAGTCCTGCATTCAAGGGAAGGGAAATGAGACTCCACTTTTTAAAGGGAGGAATGTGAGAGAATTTTCAATATATTTAAAAACTTCCAGATATGGAAATCATGTGGCCATACTCAGTTTTAAAATGTTCACCTGCATGGTTCAGTACATGCTTTCATCTCTTTACAAACCTCGTAGCGAATTCACAGGCCCATAAGATAAGGCAAGCTCTGTGGACCCCAGTTTGAGAAAAATTCAATGATGCACCAATTACAATAACATGGAATGGAGGTTCTCTTAAATCATGGTATAGGAGAGAATGGATTTAAAGAAATAGGAAGAGAAGACAAACTGGAAAGTGTTTTGTGAATTGGTGAAGCTGAAGAACTTGATGTACGCATGGATGACTTTGTCTTTTTAAGTGACTTTCCCACACATTCTAATGATAGTTACGATGCCTACTCCATAAATAGCTGGGACTTGATGTCAAGCTCTTGCAGTATTCGTTCATTACTCAGTAAATATTCACTATTAAGCAAAATTCTCTTCTGGGTACTGGGGATATGTAAGAGTAATGCTGCCTCAATCCTCGTGGGTAGTGTAGGTCTAGTAGGAAAGATAAGCACTGAGCAAATAATTATAAATGTAATAAATACTGCAAAAAGGAAATCATAAAGTGCTATGGGAATTCTAACTGAGTCTGGGGGAGGAGGCTGGAACAGGGACTGACATGTAAGCTAACATCCAGAGAATGAGGAGGAGATCGCCAGATGAAGGGGAGGTAGGTGAGTAGTTGTTGAGCTTTTTCTATATTGGCCCTCATCACTGTGTAATATCTCTAGCTTTAAACATTATACAAGAAAGTTGTGGCTACCACTGAAATAGATTTCTGGTCCATAACAGAATGTTCATGGATGGATGGAATATGAATATGCCTATCAATTCATATTTAAGAATTATTTGGTGATCTGCAAATCCTGGTAAGGCATAACTGGGGAACAGATACTTAAATGGCCCAAGTCGGTCCTCTGCAAACCATCATCTCATGAAGGCAGGCCACTGGGATCTCGATGGTTTTCAGACTGGCTAGCAGTGCACAAGGTTGACTCTTGCTGGGCATTCTATGCATCAGGGCCTCCCTTCATTAGCAATTTGCTTCTTCATCTCTGCAGCTGAGAAGAGTCAAAAAGAACAGCTTACCTCCCATTGACTTCAAAGGGAGCCTGGGGCTGGTGTGTGCAGCCGGTGAGTTTTGCTTCCCTTGTATTTCCCACTCCTTGTCAGTAGGGCTCCCATGACTTGAGGGATGGCTCTGCCGTTCCAATAAGAAGCAAGGAAGGTGAGAGAGATGGGGCATGACTCTTCTTGCTTCCAACTGACAATTCAGATGTCCTGAACTCTTCCACTCTTTGGGGAGGGTATGTCTTAACCCACAACTGGAAGAGGATGAAAAGGCCTCGTCAGAGTCCCCAAATGCCGGGCTGAACCATCCCCTCTCTGGCCCCCTCCCACGTCGGCATGGGTGCACAGTTGGCATGGTTAGTTTTGTCTGCCTCTTATATTTGAGATAACAGTGTTCTCCCAAGTGACTGAGATGTGGCCTGCAATTCACCCATGAAGTTCCCATTATCCGGAGGAAGAATAGTCTGTGTGCCACCTTTTGTGTTAATGAAGGGCTCATGTTAAAACTACTTAACTGAGGGAGGGGGTTGGCTAATCAGAATGGAAGCTGGCCAGAGGGATGGACATTTGCCCTTTCATTTCTGAATTTTGGAGGGGTTCAGGAGTCCTAAGGGGAGAGGGAAATAGTCTTAGAATGGTGCAATTTGCTACCTGGTCTGGACATATTTTGGGATTTTAATGACTGGTGCATCTGTAATGGTGCTGCCTGTTGAATTACTTGGTCTGTGTGGTGATGTGTATCTATCCTGAAATGATGCTGCAGAAGTGCTGGGGCATCAGGGCTAGATTTCAGTGCCTGGGTCTTTAACTTGTATGTGACTTTGGGGAAGTCACTGCTCCCTCACCCTCAGTTTTTCTGTCAGGCTAGATGATATCTAAACTTCCTTCCAGTCAGAACTTTCATTTTCGTAATTTTAAAACCATGATCCAGGCTTTATTGTTATCACACGACGTTGCATTGTGATTGAGAGCCTGGGTCCTGCTTCTTGGGTCTGGATCCTGCTCAGTGATCTAGGGAGGTTTGGTAAGTTTTCTAGGTCCCGTTTCTTCAACTGGAAAGTGGGGATTATAATAGGATCTACCACATAGGATTGTAGTAGATGAGGATTAAAAGGGAGGAGGCAAGAAGAGTATTTAGCACCACGCTTGGTACAATAGCACGCAATAGATGTTAGTTCTTATTACATTTACTAGCTGGAATGGAGTGAAGAGCTGTAGAGCGTTTTTCTTCATCTATCAAAACCATCCATGAAGTTCAGGTTATTTTTCATGTCCAGGCTGCCCTAGCTCTTGAGCCCAATGGCACATTGAGTGTAAGGGGATGCGGTGGCATGGGGCCACGTCTTCAGAATGTGTGCCAAGTACGGCCAAGAGCCCATTCTCTGATGTCTCTATCTGTGTAGCAGGACTCTGCCACATGCCAACTTTTTCTAAGCCACCAAAAGATTTAGAGTTTATGGTGAAGCAAGATGTTCAACAAAGAAGAATTCTGCCTTTTGTTGGAATTTGGAAGTGGTGTTTCAAGGACTCTTCGTTTCTAACGTTATCTTTTTCCACCTGGAGGCATGATTAGATTGACAGAAGTGGTGGAGGCTCTGGACAGAACATCTCCCAGTTAGAATTTTCTCGTTAAATTCTAGTCTGAAGCACATGGACATACGAAAGAACAGTACTGACTCAGAATTTCAATCTAAGGGGAAAAAATGGATACATCAGTAAATTGTAATAGGTTATAAGGTGGTTGAAAGCCTGGGAATTTAGTAGCCATTTTCATTGAAAGGTCTGGGAAATGTATTGACTTCAGGCTTAGCTGGTTCAAGTTGCTCATATATTTTCACCAGAACTTGTTCTTTCTCCATTATTCAGCTTACATTTCCTCTATTTTGGCTTTAATTTCAAGGATATTTTTCCCAAGTGGAGGCTAAGTCCACTAGTAATTCTAGGCTTGCATTTTACCCATTTCTCAACCCCAGCAGATAAAGAGCACTTCTTTTCAAATCATACCGGCAAAATCCCAGGTGGGATTCTCTTGGGTCAAGCTTGAGTTATGCATCCTTTTCTGAATTCCATTGAGACAAGGGGGAAACAGTGCTCTGACTGGCTGGGCTCAGGCCACACACGATTCCTTTCAGCCAAAAGGAAGTATGAAATTCAAACTTCGCATACTAAGAATAAGGGGAAGGTTGGTTGTCCCGAAGAAAATTGGAGTGTTGTTCCCAAAAGAAGGCAGTCAAAACCAACAGATCCCATTACAAGTCAGGATTTAGAATGGAAAAAAGTCGTCAACACACAGGTGCCCACAGACCAATGTTTATTGGGAGATTTTAGTGACATAGCTGGAAAAATCAGCTGTCAATCTTAATGAATCATTTTGCCATTTTCTTTTCTTTAGCAAAGTCCTGGAGGTGTGTTCATCCAGCAAGTCTCGCCTCTGTTGAGATTTAACTCTGTGCCTCGTGCTGAGCTAGAAGCTGAGGACCAGGGAAGAGCAGGACCCTCATGGAACTTGTGGCTGGCGTGTTGTCGAGAGCTGGAACATGCCACAACTTTGTAATATTGCTCTTCTACATGGATTTCCGTACACAGGGTCTCTAGGAGTCGGAACCAACTTGACAGCACTAACCACAAAAGCATGGATTTCTATATTCTATCATTCTTCTCAAGTAAAGCTTGGATCTGCTCCTTTCCCTTTGAACACTGAGGGCTCCGTCTCCAAGTTCCTTTGCTAGAAGGCATATTATGAAACGGGATGTATCGTCAGAGACGCAGGTAAGAAATCTGAACTGCACGGCCTCGCATAAACCCTACCAGGTCTCTGTCAAGGGCGCCTTCCCCCTTCAACAGGTGTAAGGACAAAGGGCCATTGTCCTTAGGAGCCTATAGGATAAAAAGAAAAAACACGTCCTTGCTGGTTAATCTGCTGGTGATCGAGAGTATTGTTTTATCTCCTGCCATCCTCCACGGTTCCATGGGATGAGTTCTATTGTGACACAAAGTCCGCTTTGTCTCTCCAACCCACTGAGACGCTTAAATTGACCTTTCATATAGAGTCCTCGGTTGTCACAACCTGAGCACTGAGTTAGTGTTAAACAGTGAGAGGATTATCATTTTTTTCCCCCACAGGGCACTATCATCTACAGAGATGCTATGATGATGAAAAACAGCACGACTCTCCTCTGCTTATAAAAAGTTAAAACTTTTTTGAGCAGTTTTAAGTTTGTAGAAAAATTGAGCAGAAAGTACAGAGCTCCCCGCTACTCCTTCACCCTGCCCCCTTTGCCAGTTTCTCCTATCATTAGCATCTTGCATTGGAGCGGTACATTTGTTGTAAGTGATGAGCCCATATTAATACATTATCATTAACTAAAATCCATCATTTACCTTAAGGTTTACTCTTTACGTTGTACATTATATGGGTTTTGACAAAAGCATAATGACCTGTATCCACCATTGTAGTATCAGACACAGTAGTTTCACTGCCCTAAAAATCCTCTGTGTTCCACCTATGCCTTCCCCCCTCCCCTCCAACCCCTGGCAACTGCTGATCTTTTTACTGTCTCCATAGTTTTGCCTTTTCCAGAATGCCATATAGTGGGAATTGTACAGTGTGTAGCCTTTCCAGATTGGTGTCTATTCATTTAGCAATATGCATTGAAGTTTCCCCCCTGTCTTTTCATGGCTTGATAGCTCATTTCTTTTTTTTTGAGGAAGATTAGCCCTGAGCTAACATCTGCCACCAATCCTCCTCTTTTTGCTGAGGAAGATTGGCCCTGAGTTAACATCCGTGCCCATCTTCCTCTACTTTATATGTAGGACGCCTGCCACATCATGGCATGATAAGCGGTGTGTAGGTCTGTGCCCAGGATCCGAACTGGTGAACCCCGGGCCACCAAAGCAGAGCCTGCGAACTAAACTGCTATGCCACTGGGCTGGCCCCTTTTCATTTCTTGTTTTGCTGAATAGCTTCTGCTTAACAGTTAAGCTTTCCGTGTATGAGAGCAATATAGTTGTCCCTACCTCTCACTTCCCCCTTCACTGGCTTTTTCATAATCATGAGCAATGACTAGTCATCGCCTAAGATTTAAAAAGTGGGCTTGCTGTATGTGTTATTTGAAAGAACTAAATAACATTTCAGAACAATTTCAAGTACTTTTAGTAAGCCTAGAGAAACAAAGAGCAAATTCTAGTATTTCAATCACAGCCAAACTACAGGTGGTCTCTTGAGGCTGCAGGCAACATTGGTGTTCTTGGCATTTTTACCCAGAGAAATTTATAGCCATATAATTAGTGTTTTCCCTAAAATAAATGATCTTCTGAGTTTTTTTCTCCTATCAGCATCAGAGGTCCCACTTACCTGATTAGTAATAACATTTGTTTTTAATACATGAATCAAGCATTTTTTTCTTTATTTACATTTCCTAAACAGAACCCTCTTAGTCCACACGAAGAATGGTAATGAAGGCATTCTCGTTCACTTATCTGGCATTTGATGGTTGTAAAAGGTATAAACTTTGGAATTCAAGGGAGTGAGGTTAGTGTCCAGGCTCTGTCCCTTACTAGCAGTGTGTTTTTTCCCAAGTCATTTCTCCTCTTCTGGCCTCAGTTTTTTCTTTTGTAAACCACAACCAATGATAGGCTCTCCTTTGTAAGACTGTTATGAATATGGAAGCAGTTAATCCATGGAGATAGTCCATTAAGCACAGTTTCAACAAAAAACTTCCTCAAACATCATCACAGCCACATCAGCCAACTGACCTGTATATAAAGAGTACAGTGTAGGTGCTCATTAAATTATCAGGTGCAAAGGGAGGGTAAACCCTATAACGTGTGGGCTCTCAGAGAACACAGACGTCCACAAGGAAGCGGACTTAATTGGGGTCAAGCCTGATGGACCCTGTGCAATCTGATGGAACCAAGGATACCACTTCTAGTACCTTTTGGCTCTGCCCCTGTGGAGATAGGGCCACTGCTAATAACTCACATTCTTCTCTTCTCCACCCTCAAAAAACCCATTTCCTGAGCAAGTGCATGCTTTGGTAAGGTGATTAGCAGAAAATCTGGTTCCCGAGTTTAATGAACAGTTTCTTTAGGGTGAAACTGCAGGGAACAGAGTCATTCTCTGTCACTCCCTCTCTTTGCCCTCCCCCACCACCTCTCCGATAAAATGTTATCTTCTAATAGTTATTAAGATGCCAGTGGTGCAAGAAATCTCAATCCCACACAACACGAGAGCTAATTTAACACTGAGGACATCATTTTTTATTCTGCTTTTACTTTTTACTCACTCTCATTGTGCGGACGAAGACTCCCTTGCCAAAGGCAGGGTAAATAAACTCAGACACATCCTGTCTCCCTTACATCTTTGTTTATCCATAAACTGTCAAAGATACGGATGAAAATCAGCTAAGGCATGCTTGAAGCAGCTCTACTTAAGGCCAAGTGAGATCAGAGCATGAAAGCTTGATATTAGGGGAAGATATTACCTAAAATGATACCGAGCTGGCTCTATGTGATGACATGGATAAAAATTAAAGAAACCAATAAAAAATGTCCAACTGTTGTAGTTAGGAATGGACTCAATTGTGTAACAAAGCAATAATGAGAAACACACAGTGATGGCAATGTGAGAAAGTGTCTGTACGGTTAGTGGGAAAGTAATAAAGCTTAGTGGTTATGAGCATAAACTTAGGAATGAGACTGAATTTGAATCCTGGTTCCACCTTTTTACCTTTAACCAGGCAACTCGTTTAATTACCCAAACCTCACTTTCCTTGTGTGCAAAATGCTGTCTGTCTCCAAGGATTAGTTTTTGAAGAGTTGATGATGAAGACTTGAGGAGATAAAATATAGAAGAGCTTTGATGCTGCCTTGCTCAGGTAGACTTTCAATAAGAGTTAGCTGTTATTTTAAATGAGTTAATAAAGGTTGTGAATAAAGGGACACAATGCAGGCAGCATTGCCCCAATTGTACCACCGTAAAACCTTTTATTGCAGGGCATCTTGTGAGCTTAATGTTCTGCAGGAAACAATTTGAGAAATGCTGACAAATAAATAAAACCTAAGACTTTAGAGGTGGAGTGGCAATGTTTGTCTTGAATATCCTTGTTAGAAAGTTTTAAAGCAGTGTCTGTGCTTATTTCTATAACATTTTGGGCAACAGGTTTGGGGTCAGGAATGCATCCTCAATGCTGTCTTTATTTCTATGGAAAATCAGATTTCATTTACATCATTCCTCCTGACAGCATTTTTTCTGGGACCCGGATAAAAACAAGGACTGCCTGCCCAAATTGGTTGCAAGCTTTGCAAAGGCGAGTCTTCCCTTTTGACCTATATCCTGGCAGCAGGCCTGTGTCTACGCCATCCAGCTCTAGGTCAGAATTTCCCCTGGTGTCCCATGAACACAGATGCCATCACCTACCCCTTGGGGAGGTACTGTGAGCCTGGAAGAAGCATCTTGGGCCTCTCTGGAGAAGAATAAACTGCATGCAAGGTTATGGGTGTTTTATGATCTGTTAGAGATGGATAATCCAAGGTGCAGGCTTGCAAGGTTTTTTTTTTTTTAACCCAAGGAAGCTCAGCAGTGAAACTCATTTTGCACAACTCCCAAAGCGGTTTTGCGATAAATCTGTGAATTTAATCAGCCTCCTCTGTTGAGGCAATCTCCCCTAATTGGGTTCTTGTGAGGAATAATAGACATGATGACAAAAATACTTCATTTCTGGAAAGGAAGCCAGAGTCTCATCAATAATACTGATAGTAAAGCTCCGGTCCCCCCAAAAAATGGAGCATGGGCCTCAGGTGCGAGCCCTGGCACCAGACTCACCCTGGCTCAGGTAATACTTGTCTTTTAGACCATCCTTCTCTTTCTCCTCCTTCCTGGTCAACAGCAAGAAAATAAAATCCCAAAATGAAAAAGAGTCTCCAGCACCATTCTGGCCAGTAACTAAGTGGACTACTAAGTAGGCTTCCAGAAGTTTCGAGAAGATTGCAATAGAGTAATGGGGAATTGCATTAGAAATGAAAACAAACACGGAACACAGAATCCAAACAACACGATTTTGTTTCCTTTCTCTTTCTCTGCCAGGCGATTCCCAATCCTCTCTGTCAATCCTGGCAGTAATGGTGGGGTTTGGAAAAGCCCCTGCCGGGAATGCAACACACATAGCTGTTGGCCGTCAGCTGGCAAAGCAACCTAGTGAAAAAAGCAGGGACTGGAGCTAGATGCCTCATGTTCTCCAATTAATGGACAAATATGACCTCCAGATCTAGCTGGTATGTGTCCTAGGTGGGTCAGGAGTCGAGAGAGAGAGATCCTAGTATTGGAGGCAGGCTCTTCAGAGTTGCTGACCCCATTTGAAAGGGTTGGAGAGCAATGGCAGCTGCAACCTAGGTTTTGCCATCCTGGAAAGTGAGAAAAGGAAAGCTGGTAATTGAGTTAGAAGTAGAGGAAAAGGAAGAGTTTCACAAGGATGTCATCTGTCCCAGCGCTGTCCAACTGAGCCAGACATTCCAGCATCCTGTCCATCCTCTGTGTGTGAGAGCATTCCTGACACGTCCCCTCACCCCTTGTGGCACTTGAGGCTGTTGGCGGTCAACAGATCATCTTGATGATAAACACAGGAACTCACCTGTGGTCAGCAGACACAGGGCCAAAACTGGAGGAAGAGCTGTGAAAAATGCCATCTTCCCTGTGAATTGGACTCAAACACTTGCTCACCAACAAAAGAGCTAGTGTGCTTCATTCCTCTAGCCGCAGGCCCTCACTAACA